CCCTAGTGCCCTTAGAAAGGCTGTATTTTCACATTACTGCCATTTCTTAATGAAAATTTATCCATTTGTTGGTATATAACTAACACCTGTCTCAAATTCACTTGTATGTACTCGGGAAGTTTCAGGCAACTCATGATAAATTTAACAAGTTTGCAGTTAACTATTTTAACTGTAGCATCTTTGTTTTGCTCGAGATTTTGGTAAGTACAGATTGCCTGAGAGGTCTGATGTTTGCTGCATCCAGATACTGGCTTTAATACCTGAAGGTTTTCTCTTCTCTTCTTTCATATTTGATTCAGAAAGTAGTACATAAAACTCTCAGCATCAGGAATTGTAATTCCAGCAACTGCTTTCACAATGAAAAACTGCTGCTCTCGGGATGTCTTTTTGACATTATACCATATGTTGACACAGTCATTAACAGGATATAGAACTAGTTTAACGTATACACACATTGACACCTCTGCTCTATCGTATGTTTTAAGGTTCCATCAATGCTGAGTACTAGTCTGAATGCAGAAGCGTTGCAGTATCTCCAAGGATACCTCCAAGCTGCAAGCGTGACACTTCTCTGAGTTGCATATATTCCACAAGCAAGATCAAAAGGTGTTTTGTTACACAGAAGGTTGACACTGACTTTTTTTTATAGCAGAGCTCAGACAAAATGAAAAATGCTACTTGAAAACGTATTGCAGAATCCATCTCGTAAAAGATAAATGTGGCTTTAAGCAGAAACTGAAAGAATTTGGTGGTTTGTGTACTCATAGGTAAAAGATGGCTAACTTCCATTCCCAGTTTAATTGCAAAGGGAATAGTCATAGCGGTTTATTATGAGATTTATTTGAAATCTGCATCTGCGGTGTTTGGATAACATTTTGAAATGTATGGAGAGCACTGGCTGTAGAAACTCACTTTGGTCACTAAAATTTCTTTTCATTTTGATGTTGTCCTTTGTATTTCTTTTGTCTTTCCTTAAACTTTATCTAAATTGTGAATAAATAAGAAGTACTTGTTTAAAATGCCTGTCACTGTGCACTTACTGTTTTAGAAGAATGTAGTTGGTTTAAAAAAGAAAATGTTTTAAACTTAGGATAGGATATAAAATAGTGGGACTGTGAAGATTTTTCTTTATCTTAAGTAATAGTTTAAATACATTGTAGGATCATACAGAGCAAATCTAAAACTTTGGCAGAAGATCCAAAGCTGTGATCACTCTTGATGTTCATCAACAGGTGCACCCCTTCTCTTTGAACAAGACATGTCAGTATAGTGCAGTAAAAGCAAGTGATACACCCTCTTACAGTAGGTATCAGTCTCCAAGTGGATTTTTAGTGATGTATTAAAACTGAAGCAGTGATCTTAGAGTTAAACTTAACTCAGATGTTCTCCCTGTCTCCTCATAAATGTACTGATTAGGTTCAGTAGCCTTGAATTCTAAGTGCATCAGTTTACCTTGTCGTTATGGCTGTTTAAGTGACTGGTTAAATCCCTGAGCCCTGCTGTGTTCTTGGACGGTCTGAGCACCGAACGACTAGACTATAGGCTTTTAGAAGACTGATACTGCAGGGATATAAATAAATCTGATTATAGAGACTGAAAAAATCCTGAACAAGAGTGAAGTCTCAGGCTTATGTGATATTAAGCAACGTTATACATGACAGATTATTTTTTTTTTAGTTACTTTTCCACAGAAATTCCGCGGATGACTTGAATCAGGACTGGTTTTTTGTAGTTAGACTGCCTGTTAAAGCTGGGCCTTGAACCGAGAAAGTTACTGAATTTACTGAGGGCGAAACATAGGGCAGAACCAGCTGTCTTTCAGTTCTTCCTTCGTATCTATGGGTGCCATGTGAGAGTGCATGCTGGCCATATCTCTTAATATACTAAGAAATGAGTTGGTTGTTAGACAGTGGATTGAAACTACTAAGTGCCTAAAAACATATTAAATGAGTCGGCATCAACAGGTTTTCTTGAATCTGGCCTGTCATGCAGTGTCAGACCCTCTTTGTTCATAGGTATGAAGTGAAAGGAGTTCTCAAGAATGAAATAATATAGTGGTGGTCATGAAAAGCATCTGCCTTAATGCTGATGAAAGACTGTGACTTGTGTTACAAGTTTGCCGAAGCGCCTTGCAGAATGAATTTCAATAGAGAGGCTGAAACCACGTGGGAGATGTGTGACATTTGCAAGGAACGGAACGCCTACCTCGAATGTCAATGTTCATTGAGCTGTGGTCATTCAAACCTGCAAGCCAAAAGGATACCCGGACCCCTGTCTGCTCTGCAGCTTTGTCTTTCCTTGGGTAATAGGGAGAACAATTCTACAGAGAACTCGCAGACTTTTTTTCCTGGCAGCCTCAAAGAACCAAAATTAAATGGGTAGTGGTGGTCATGCAAAGGTACCATGTCAAATTACTGTTACATCTGTTCAAGTAGACACAAGCCCATTGTGCTCGTATGCTAGATAACCTTGTGCTGAAATGGGGTTCTTCAGCATGATGCAATATTAAGAGGCTCGTATTAGACCACCTTAGTTCTGCAGTTTGAAGCAAGATTTCTTTTGGGGACAGGTTGCTGAGATAGGGAGGTGAACAGCTGTTTCTTACCTTACCAGTACCGACATAGATGGAACTGGACAGGATTTACAGCAGCAAGCCAGAACCTTTTTGAGAGGTAGCTGAAGAAAAACTGGCTTTTCTTAATGGAAAATTATCGGTGAATCTTGATGTTCACTATCTTGCACTTCCTGCAACGTGTGACTCTTTGTTGTTGGACAGACATTCTGTGTGTATAAGTGCCTAAGTGACTTCCGATCAACAAATACTAGTGGCGTACTTGTCCTTTAGCTCACTCAGAGTTGAGAAACTTAGACTTTGTAGACATGGCTGTGGCACTGTTAGTGATGTGTTATTTAGTCCTGACACACTCTGCAGATTTCATAAGGCATGCAAGTGTTTATATAGAGCACTTACCCTTTCAAGGAAATGAACTTTTCAAGTGTGGTAGAGGCAAGTAGATGTGTGTCTGCTTCAGCGTACAGGCAAATGTTACTGGCAGTGACCTCACCTTCATTGAGGTGGAGACCTTATTGCTACTTCTGACACCTCCCATTCTCAAGGTTCAGAGAGCCACACAATGTTCCAACTATATTTATCTGTTCATTTAGTGGAAACTGATGCAAGCAATGTTGTAACAGTTTTTCACGAGATTGTTGAAGTTGTCTCGCCCACCCTGCGGTGTATTCCTTGTTAAACAGTTAGGCAAATACCAGTTGCTTTAGACAGCTCAGGCTGGAAACACCTGGTGTCAGTGGATCTTCTGAGGACTTGAGAGCATCTAATTGAATGTTAGACAACTCCTGCCCATCACCTGAGATCTTCTGAAAATAAGTAGCCAGTTCTCCCTTGCAACTGGTAATGGTAGAAGATTATTCAAATTCAAGGGGAAAAAGATTATTTGCTCCTTTTTGAGTATGAAATGGGCAAAGGTGTCCTCTTTTGGGATCTTTTGACACTGTCGAACTCTAATCTACTGTCCTTAGGAGCCTGACTGACTGACTTGTGGTTGTCAGCTTCTAAATAATTTTCTGAGGCTTTTGTAGCAGAATAGTTACCTTATTGTTAGCTAAGAAAAAAAAAAAAAAAAAAAAACAACACAACCAAAAATCGCCAAAAAAAACCCCAACCCACCACCGCCCTCAAGATCAGTTCATATTCTTGTTTTCTTGGGTTGTGAAGGGGCCATGATACTACCACCATTCCTGTGGTGCTGGCAGCACGTACTGAAGCAAAGTTCTATTTCTTCATATAAATATGTGCTAAGATAAGTCATCCTCTCAGTGAGCCAGATGCTTCATTCTAAAAATTCTCTGATGAGGCCAGAGCACATTCTTTCTCTCAGCTGACTTCTGCTTTCAGAAAACTTGATTTTCTTTAGGCTCTCAGAAGCTTGCGTGAATGTGCCTTCCATCAGGCTGTGCTTCTTTGATTTTGGCATGTACTTTTATATTCATTCCATGACCTTTCCCCGAGAACAGCCTTCCTGAGAGCCGTAATACTGCCAAGAAGGGGTAGGCCAGATTAAAGCCATCAGAGCAAGTCTTTGTACTGTCACCAGCACGAGTTAACCATAAAGCATCATGCGAGATTCCAGCTCCAAGCTGGTCACAGCAATCTGTTTGTTTGCAGTTCTTCACCGTTCTCTGAAGTTCACTCGTGCTTGTACAGAAAAGATTTATCATTCAGTGAGCTTCCCTTTATTAGTCCCAAGACTGCACGCTTCCAGCTGTCAAAAATACTGCTAAAATCCTGGTGAATCACTTCAAAAACATTTTGACAAAACTTTGGCAGAAGTTTGCAGCGCAGCATCTATACACCTGCACTAGCTTGGATAATAAAAGCACCTTGGCTGTAGCAGTAGGGAGATTTAGGCATCCAGCTATAGTTGGTGGAGTAAATTGTGTCGCCTGACAACCAGAGCTGCCTCTGCCAGACTGCACACGTGGAAGGCCAGTTTGGATACACCCGTACCCCATGCTCCAAAATGGCTTGGCAGTTTCCTTGTCCCAAAGCTCCCCATGACAAACCTTGATTTTTTTACTTAAAACAGCTTAGTCCTTTTTTCACAGAAACAATAGTATTTCTCAGTACCTGTTATCTGTTTTGCGGATTCCATCAACAAAAAAAAAAAAAAACAGAGAAGAGTCATGGATGTTCTTTAGCCCTCAGCAGAAGTATTACAAAGACATTTTCTCCTGCTTCAGGCATTTTAAAATTGTGCAGTTGTTAACTGACAAAGATATGCTCCAGGCATGACTTCTCTGTGAAAATTCAAATCTATAAATCTACCCAGCTATCAGAAAGTAGGATAAATGCTTTCTTTTCCCTTAGCTCTCTACCCTTGCTTATTTAAATGGTGTTATTATTGCCTTTTATATAATTTAGAGGAAATTTGAGGTGTTCCTGGGGAATATGGGCTATAATAATAGGTACCAGCTAGTATGTGACAAGCTCAGTGACTTCTGTTGACAGCTAGTTGCAAAGTGACTATAGGCTTAAAAATTTTCTCTCAAAATAATAATCTTCTAGTTCACATGAGGTCAAAGCCTATGCTGGACTTACCGTATTGTGTTCAAGATGAGAATAGAAGAAAATACTTTAATAATAAAGTAATAAATCTTAATAGAAAGTAAAAGATATTTTGTTACAAATGAGTAACGTGTCAGAAAAGCAGAATAAAGGGGGTTTAGCACAGCTAGTTCATATATTTAGCTTCCTAGTAAAAAGTTTTCATTTTGAAAAGCTGTGAAGAGAAATTCATGTTCTGTTTTTGTGCCTGATATAAGGGGTATTTTGAAGTATTTAACGAAGAAAATATATTAATAACAAATACCAGATTTCTACATGAACATCTGAAAATATTGTAATTGCAGTGCTGCTTCCTTCATAAAAGAAAATGAAAGTTTCAAATATTTTGCAAATTATTAGCTAGAAATAAGTCTCTGTCCTTGTTTAAGCTGCTGCATAAAGAAGAGTGGAAAAGTATTTTGTAACATTTTTGAATAATTAATAATTATGCACATAATAGAGCAGTAATTATTCTTCAAATGAAAGGACAGACATGTTGGATATTTGAGGTGGTGTGCCAAGTGTTCCTCGGCCTTTTGAATTACATACGTATTTCCTTACATTACGTTCAACTTTGTCATCTGGCTGCAGATACTTTTTGTCCCAATCGTGCAGATTTTACACTCATCCAGACATTCACAATTCTCTGGAAAAAGAGAACATAAAACTGATTTTTTAATGTAACTCAATCTGGAAAAAAATAAATAGTTAGCATTGTAACTCCCTGTCTCCACCTACCTTTCTACAAAAACCCTGCACAAACGTTGTTTCTGTTACACACAGCATTAAGCCTTGCAGTAATGATTACCCAACAGTTGAAATTTCATTTCCTTCTGAAATATAACTGTTGCTGGCTTGGCATAATTAAAGCATCTAACAGCACATACTATTATG